CACGAAGCGAAAGTGAAAAACTTAAAATAATTTTAATACGAAATTTAAATTAAATTTAAAAAATAATTGTACAAAAATAATCATTTTAATTTGGAACATTAATATGTGCAATGAAGCAATTTATTTGCAACAACATTTCAAATGTATCGGTGAGGTGATTTACCAAGAAAAGTTAGACATAAACAATTTTTTTATAGACTTTTATAATTTTATGGAAAATTTGAATGAATTTGATTACTTAAAATTGAAAATATAAATAAAACATATTAAATAATCATATCAGAGAAATAATTTTTAACTCACTTCAAATCTTCTATCCGAAAGAACTGTAGAACATTAATGGGTGTATTGACAGGTCACTATCTGGTCGCATTATATGCGCATAAACTAAAACTAATTCACAGCGATGCTTGTAGGAAATGCAACGAGCCGGATGCAAAGGACACTCTAGAGCATTTGCTGTGTAACTACCCGGCTCTCTCGAGAACTCGACAAAAATACTTGGGGTCTGTCAGTTTTTCCGGACCGGACTGGAGCACATACCTGAGGTTTCTGTTGAAATCCTAATAAAATTCGCTAATAAAACGCGCGTCCTAAGTGATACACACAATCGCTAAATAAAACTTGATCTGATATCTCAATGCACCTTAATGGTCTTTTTGGTCAGTCAGCAAATCTAATCTAAATCTTCCAAAAGAAGATCTTTTAATATTTCGTTCACGTCTGTTTCTTATTTTATCAACATCTGGGCTGTTGTTGTTGTTGTAATCCACTGGGACCTGCATGTGAAGTCCCCTTGGCACTTGGTCGTCACTGGAGACGAACAGCTCTGGGATGTAGACCCAGCCGTTCTTGGAACCTTGAAACATCTGGGGCTTCAACTTACTCGTTGTGACAGTAGAAAAATTGTACTTAATCTAAAAATAAAAATATAAGTTGACGCTAGATGGCGTGTGTATTCAGCGTAAAGGTTTACACTTTAAATCTATCTATCTCAAGAAGTCAGCAAAAAAGTTGTTTGAAATACCTGATTCTACTAAATTCCGTATTGCATGTCAGGGCAATCAGAATAGCACAGAGGATGCGATAATTTTTTCCGTTGAGACTGGTTGAGACTGGTTGAGTAGGAAAGCGTTTTAGGCTCAGTTCTCTATATAATAAATATTTGTAAGTGGAAACTACAGAGAATTGCCAACATGTTAGTGACATATTAACCAAATTATTTTCTTTATAGTAAATGAAAAAGTGATTAACTGACGTTCTGAACTGAAGTTTAATCACTAGAGTAGTAGTAATGATTATCGCATATGTTCACTTCGTTTCTGCAATAGATTTATATATAGAAATAGTGAAATCGTTTAAAGAAAAATAATCGTTTAAAGGAACATCTAAACTTCTTCATAATAAATAATTTAAGTCCGACATGAGATTCTATATATATCTAATCTAGTCGTTATCAGTCGTCATATTATGTTATGTGCCATATTGTAATTTTAATCAAACGGATAATTAGCGATATCGGACAGATATTTTTGGAAAAATTTATTAAAGTAGGAATACGTCTTCTGATGAGAGCTAGACACATTTTTCTTCTTCTTCTGATCCACAGCTAGAACAGTAGTGATTGAAAGAAATTCCTGTCAATAACACAGCGTCCAATCACAATGGTGATTTCATGGGAAAGGGAACTATATTGGGCCTAATAAAATCAAAACATGCTTAGGATGGGTATTTGGCAGTATTCAAAACAGGTGTATGGTCAGCGTAAAAATGCAATTAATTAATTGAATAGTGATTTAGTGATCAGTGATTTTAAAAAAATAATTTCCATCAATTGTTTAAATTTAAAATTAATTTATTTTAATCTTCTGTTTTTTTTCACTATTTTATTGTTATTACGTGTTCCGAAAAATAAATATTTACCGAATGTGAGTAGGAGAAAGTTTAGTTTAAAAAACAGATAATGTTCTATTTATTTTAAAATAATTATGAGTAAGTTTTTTTATTTGTTATAAACTAATTTGAATTCATTTGAAATTGAAAGAAAATTACGACTGCGTGGTTTTCATTGAAGAATAAACTTTTAGCAAATTTTATATAAACAAAAACATTGTTTGTGTGAATTATATTTTTAATTTAAATAGCGAATAAAAAAAATTAGCAAAAGATCTTAGTTTAGGCAGAGCTAGAACTGCTAACTTAGTACACCAAGAAGGTATTTAGGCTTTGCAGTACTTTTCAGTAGCAATTTTTATTAATACCAGTTGCTTAACACGATCAGGCAATTTGTTATCAGCAACATTTGATAAATATTATTAAATGGAAATCTATTTACATCTAGTAAGGAACACAGAAACCAAATTCCTTTTTTAAGTCGTCCAAACTAAGTTTTTAAATAATTAGTGAACACAATACCTTCCCCACCACAAGGCTTCCTCGAATACTGGATGAACTTACAATTGACAAAGCAATATATTGGGCCAGAGATTGAGATAACATATGTTCAGATCTGGGTCTTTCATTAACTAGTATGCGAGTATAGATATCAAATTATTACACAATTATATTATAACTTTATACAAACGAAGTGTACACCATTCTTTTATCGAGAATACTAGGTACCCATACCTGCAATATGATATTATGTATAATTTTTATTACGAAAACACTCAGCAGATATCGAGCCTACTTTAAAAATGTATAGGCGGTCTTTTTAAACTGAACGATAGAGAATTTAATATATCTGAATGTGATTGTTCTTTGTGTAATCGTCATGAGATAGAAAATATATATCATATTATTGATGAATGTCCGATTTTCAGAGAACATAGATATATGTTTTTTGATGAAGCACTTCTATCCGAAGAAGAATTGAAAGTCTTGTTAAACGGTAGCAATATTTAAAACCTATACAAATTTGTGGAAAGTGTTTTAAGTTAAAGAAGTTTAATTATTGATGAATTTATTTATTGATGGATAATAATGTCAATTATATGCACCGGTTTTTCGTATGCCAATGTGGCACGCAACAAATATGTTATTGTCAATTTAGATTTTAAGTAAAATTCTATAATTTTTTGAGTCAATATTAAATAATAATAACACAATTCCTTCACACGAGGTGTAACTTTTTTTTGCTAATTTAAATTGTTACTACTTCTCACGGTTATTTGAGATCGTAATTACCAGACAAAAGTTGTAGGGTTCTGGTATCATAGAATGGCATTCATAAAAACTTAAATAAAAATAAAATCACTCTTGAAAATGTTTCCAAAAACCAACGAAATGTCGGATCAGACGCATAGTCAATTGTGGTTTGATTACGTTATGCGAGATGTTGATAATCATTTATATTTATTTTGTATTTTTACTTCAGTCAGAAAAATACTTCTTAAAATAATTTAAAATTAAAATTATTAAAATTAATAATTAAAATAATTAGGATGAAGTTTGTGGCTTATATACATTTATGTGCTTCTAAACATTTTTATGCATATGATTCATACAAAAATATGTAACATGTTTGGTTAACACTTTCAATCAACATTAAATGTATCTAAACATTAGTGTGGTTTGTGTATTAACTAAATATTTTTTGACTGTTCACAATAAAAATCTTTTTTCTCAATTCTCCACTTAACGCTAGATGGCGCACAAAAGGAGTACACAAATTCACACAAATGCAATTTATAAAATAAAGTTCTGCTTTTGCTGCTAGGCACAGCTAGAGGTCACCGAAAAGTCTAACCAAATTCTTCAATGCTCTCAACATGTTGCTGCAACATGCAAAACATAAGCGTGTACCAAAGACAATCGGAAGGAATTTTTAATTTAATTAATAATTAATTAATTATGTTTTGAAATCAAACGTTAATGTTAATAAGAAAATTGTGAACTCTAACTTACCTTCACACTTCAAACCTTGTATGAAAAATCCTCCCATTAGAGACCCACAATGATCACAGAAAGTTGGTGACATAAAAGTGTAGGGCTTAAAGCGGTGCGGTAAATCTATTTTGAATCTTTCGCGCAACAACTGCAAATAATTAAAATAACATTAATTCCTAATTATTTTTTGATTAATAATTTATTTATTATCCGATATATCATGCACATTGTGTATCGCAATATAAAATAATAGTTTTTTTTTTCAAAAATGAATAGATGACAGTACTAATATTTTATATTATATATTAAATACTATATAATATTTATAGTAGTTAAACTATTTGATGTTAAGTGAAATGGTATCTAATATTGTATCAGATTGGTTAGCATTTAGGGATTAGTTCACATTTCGGGTTAACAAATTGAGAAAGTTTTCAACGGTATAGTTTAATCATTTGACAACGGATTTTAGTAAAGTAATTTTATCAAAACCTTTTCGACTCTACTATATATAGCTTCGTTTTCGAGATATCGGTCATCAATTTAGAAATCATGACGTGTGTACTTTTTGTTAATAAAACTAATGTAAAAAATGAACAACTTTAAGTCCCGATATGTAAACTATATCTATATGCCGAGTGGAAAAAGTTGGTTAAAATCGCTGAGTCTACTGAAATTCGTTGTCAAATCGAAGTGCATGAAAAATTGGAGTTCAAATTGGGCACTCTGATTTCTACTGCTCTCTCATTTTTGCTACGTGGTTCAACTATATCATGCCTTTTATTACTCTTTCTGTTTATATCACACTACTGCAGTCCATTCGATATAAACTATCTTCTTTCCAGATAGTGCCTTATAAATTTTTCTGTCCTTACTCTTCAGTGTTCAGACTTAATATGTACTGTTTGTAATAGGTTTTCTTAGAGTATTGTTTCTGTACGTGTTTAGCTTGTAGTATAAGACTTTGGACTTAAAAAATTTGAAATGTGCTTAGTATTTCTATTTATGGCTTTCTTTTCTTCCTTTGTCTAATCCTTTTTGACTTGCTATCGATGTATCTTCGTTACCACTTAGTATTATCAACAGATAAGGCTATTTATTTATTGAGAGGCACGTCTATTTATTAGATTTCTTAACTGGCAAGCATGAATTAAGAGCTACTTGGTGTAAAAAACGAAAAAAATCAATGTATCAATGTTGATAAGTATCAAAATACGGGGTACGAAGAAAAAGTATATATGAAAAACATTAAAGGATACAAAGTGTGGTTCAATGATTTTATCCTAATAATAAAATATATATAATATATATATCATTTATTCCTGAAAAACTCGTTATATATACTAAAATTAAATATGTTCAACTATCATTACATTGCGAATTATAAAAAGGTTTGCTGTGATATATAACTGACGGCTTTGGGTCAGTTGGCTAATGAATGCTGACTCTGAGTTTCAAATTTGGCAGGGTATAAGTTCAACCATTGATATTTGCATTTTTAAAATTATTTACGAATAATTCAGTTTAAGAAATAATTTCAAGATCACTGATGATGGGTATTTGGCAATATTTGAAACAGCCAAAAATTCAATTAATTAAAATAATATATATTTATTATTAATAAAACAATAAATATGTAATATTATAATAATAGTTTACCACTTCTCTACCAAATATACTAGTTTCTATGTTGTAGTTTCTATGAAATGTTATAGTCACTTCCGTCATAACTGACGTTAAATTACAATTCATATTAAAAAGGTTTGCAGAATTTTTGCTGTGAAATGATTGTGAAATGTGAAATGATTTATTATATATGAATTCTTATTCTTATTTAATAAATACTTAAATGACCTAAGTGTACTTACAATTGTACTTGCTGAATTAAAAACGGATCCCGAACATTTGCCCAACAATTTCTCATGACATTTCTTGTGAACCACAGTTTGGCAAGCTTAAAAGAAAATAAATATTATACAATTCTGAAATCTTTTTAATTTAAAATAAAATAATTATTTTCAAATATTACGGAAACACAACAGAATCGAGGTACATTTTTATTCACAAGCGTATGAACAAAGCAATGTCAAGTCATAAAAATGGAAGAAGGTAACCCTGCTCAAATTAATTATAGAAGACAGCAAAAAAAATAAACATTATATCCAAGTTCAGGTTTTAAAAGTTACTTAACAATTTGTTTATTTAGTTTTTTGTATGTGACTAAAGATAATATTTGAATTACTAAATTAAATAAAATTTAAATTTTGCTTTCGTATACCTAATTACAATTCCATTCATAGGTGATAGTTATCATAGTCACCTGATAGGTAATGAATCAATTAAGAACTAATCGTATACACTGTGAGACTTATATAGATGTGAGACCATATAGCATAGATTAGATAAGAGAAGAACAAAAGGTCTTTAAACTTGAGTAAACTCGCAGTTCATAGGCTTTTTGGATTACTTATGAGTTGAGTATATCACTTTGTAGGTGATTGTTTTTTTCACTAATCTGGCAAAGAATTCGCAAGTAGACTTATCGGATCACTTTGTCTGGAAAATGGAATATTATAGTTTAAGAAGTGTGAAGTTGGGAGTTTTATTTAAAAAAATTTTTAGTGTAAGTAGGTCAATCTTGGTCCTTTTGAGATCAACTCAATAAACAATAGTTGTCAACAGTTGTTTGCAATCAAGAACATCTGTTTAGAGTTTAGAGAACAACTTCCTTTATTTCATTTCAAGTTTATGTGTTCTGTACAAAAAGGTATTCTTATTTATCATCTATTGATTATTATTGAGTCAATTGAAAGTATTGCAAGTTTAAAACTCTAAAACTTTAAAACTTCAGAACTCAGAACTTTGATATCGAGCCAGATAAAAAAATCTGATTTAAGGAAAAATATAAAATAAATTTTAGTGAATTGAAGATAACTTATATCTGGTTTTATTACCGGTTTTCGATTGCAATTTCTTTTCTTATTGTTTGAATAACTAATGTAAAAATCATATATTATTAGCACTTATTATAGCACTAATATTATAATTCTGTTAGTGGTAGTGTAAATAAATCAAGTAAAAAAGCTTAGAACTTTGAATTTCAATATCTCAAGAAATAGACTATATGAGTATATAGTGTAGTAAAAAAAGTTATTTTACTAAAATTTGTTGTCAAATCGGCGTAAACGGGAAATCTCAATCGTACTAAGAATATGCTATCAAAACAGAAGCTCTCAACACTAGTGAAAATCATTGGTAGATTTGAGACTGCTCATTTAATCCACAAACACGGAACGATGTTGAAGATATCATTGGAGCTAATCTCATAACCTTCTCTAAGGCACATGCTTTGTAAGGAACTGTCAAAGGACCTAACGCGTGTTGCAGTTGAAGATGTCAAAATTGTGATAGGTACGGATCAGAAATCGTTTTCGATTGATGCACCTGTATTTTCGAACAATTTTAAATAAAAAATTTGAGCTGATCAGTTGAAAAAACAGCACATAATACAATAGATTATATTGAAGCACTTAATTCAGGAAGAATATAAAAAGAAATTGAGCTGTTCCGTGTATTAGAACTATACTATATTTTATTCTAACTAAATCGCAATTTCAACCGATACTAAGTATTATGAAATATAATAGTATTTTTACTAAGTATACTAAGTATATATACTAAGTATTATAAAATATGATAGTATTTTTATTTTATGATTTTCCAATTTGAATTGAGATTTAACATAAAGAGTTATGAATAAAAATAAGAATAAAAAAAATAAATAAATAAAGGTTTTAATGGATCATTTTTGGCAATTTGGCGAAATGATGCTTAAAGAATTAAAATAAGTGTACACTAAAGACTTGGAATATTGAATAGAAAGCAGAAGTTTAATGGAAAAAATAGGCATTGGGTGTATTATTCCTGATTTGACTACAATCGCAGCCAGATATTAATATTACGTGGTGCTGTCTAATATTTTAAATTCGGGCATTTTATTTTTTATATACCAGAGAATTCACAAGTGAAATGACTGAGTAACAATACAAATAATCCAAATAAGAAAATTAACCCAAATGGCAGATACACTAACACGTGACTTGAAGTTCATTAACAAAGATAATGTAAGCGTATGGGAAGAACAGAACTCATCGCCGAAGACTGTGTGGGTTGAGAACCTAAGTTGTAGTAAAATCTATCAGTCTAATATTTAGAAAAAAATAACAACCGCTAAAGACATAATAATTGCTTCGCTTGAATCATTCAAAATAAAATATTTATTTCAAAATACAAAAGAAAATAAAAAGAAAATCATATGTGAGCCATAAACTTTTATGGCCATTAACTGAAGTAGAGGAGCTCTGTTTATTCTCGACTATTCGTGCTAATATTTATTATCGTCTTAATTAAAATAATTATTTATAATAAGCGTGAAACTTTTATTCCATACTCACTGATACATTGATATCCTTGCTTACCGAAGCCCCATAGAAACAGATTGCAGAAGGCGCAGAACGTCGGCTGACGAAAAAATTTCGCCACGAAACGGTGGCCGTTAATTTCGTGCGTTCTAAAAACAAACAAAAAAACAAAAAACCGAAATCAGCGAGTTTGTTTGGCAATAAAATTTTTTGCAGTGCATAAAGTGAAAGTGTCAACAAACTTTTGATGTTTGATGGCTCCCCGCCGGTTAGTGATGCTGCGCGGTCTCGTGCGCTTATCCACATAGGCGCGTTCGTAGTGCGCGGCCCGTTCGTATTCTTCTTTTGAGTGTTGGCGCGGCAGCTCGAAGGAATGATGCTTACTGTAGTGGTGGTTGGCAGACGCACCGGAGTTGGTGCTGTAGTGGTCGCTGTAGTAGCCACTCGACATGGTGCTGCTTCCACCCGGCATGTCGCCCATGTCCCTATCCCTGTCCCTATCCCTGTCTCTGTCTCTGTCACGATCTCTTGTGCGTCCACCACTGCTGATCCCGGAGCTGCTGACACCTGATGAGGTGGTCGACGGTTGCTTGTAGCGTGGCTTTAAGAAAAAACAAGAAAAATTGTTATTGTTGTTATGTTGTTGTTGCGATTACTTACGTCGTACTGTTGTTGTTGCTGCGTACGAGTGGTGCGCGCTCGCTGGTTGCCAGTGTTGCCGTTGGTCTTCTGTTTTCGCACTTGAGCGCGTGTAAACATCATCTCTCAGCCGTTTCTGTTTAATTTGTTTATTTGGGTTTGTGTACACAAAACAAAATATTTTCATCCAAACAATCGGACTGAATTCAGCTGCGGATGGCTCTTTCTCTTCTTCTTCCCTGCGCTTAACGCTTGTTTACGATTTCCTTTGATTTAATTTATTTCTGCCGTTTGTTTTTTTTCTCAATATTTCTTTATTCTGTGGGTTTTTTTTTGTTTTTTTTTTTTTTTCAAATTCGGGCCGTGTCAGCTCCGCGTTGTGCGTCTTTGCGACATTTTGGCGTATTTTCTTTTTCTCTCGATTTTATTTTATATTTTAATTTTCGCTTCAGTTTGTGTAAAAAATGCATTAAATCATTTTTTATTGTTGAAAATCTGAAATTAAGAAAATTTTTATTTTTTTATTTGTTTATTTATTGGTAAATTATATTCAATTTTGCCATCGCAGCCAAAAGAATGCTTTCAATGCCATTTGAAAAAAAAAACTGAGTTGTAAAATTTTTGACAAACAAGAAATTCATCGCAACTAATTTTGATTGAAAGGTTGCCTTCTTAAAATTCAGAGATATATATTTTATATGATTTTGTTAAGACTTTTATTTTTTCTTTTTTGGTGGGACGTGTCCCAACAAGTGGCCCCACTGAAGTGAAGGATTAGTCGAAGACTTAATAATTAATTAATTAATTAATTAAAACTTAATAAGATTTATCTAAACATTTATTAATTATGTGTAAAATATGCTTACCACGGAAAATTAGAGAAAGAATAAAAGTTAAATTATTGAAATCTGCATGTTAACTGAAAAGAATAATGACTTCGATAACGAAACCTTTCGATATCATAAATATTAATAAATTATTTAAGGAGTACTTAAAAATTTATTGCTTCCATATATCAATTACTAAATGCATAGTTATAGAAGTTATAGAAGTAGCAATTAATTTTAATAAATATTATTTTCTGAAGTAAGATCTAAAATACTGCCAGACCCCACAAAGCTGTAATTAAGATTAAATCGAAAACAATAGACCATCTAATGAAAGCTAGTTATTATTAGAAAAAAGGAATAGTGCACTGAAACCTAAAAGATCTATTGTGCCCCCTTAGTTGGTTTCTTCAAGTCCGATTTCTTTAATGAAAGGCAGCATAGAGCCTATCTTTCTTAGTCTTGGATCCTTATGGTCCTCCTTAGTGTATCTTCCGCTTGTGCATCAGTGTTGGACACTCCACCAGCACATGATATGCAGTTTCTCTCTCTTCTTACAGTATCTGCAGTCTGAGTTGGATTGAATTCCTGACTTCGGTAGGTGATTATTCAATCTACAGTGACCGGGCAATAATCCCGCCATAATTCTTAGGTTATTTTTTGATTGTGCTATGCAATCTTTGAAGCGTTTTAGGTTGTAAGTCCCTAAAAGCATTTCAGATTGTGATGTCTTGGTAGCCTTTCCCAACAGAGTTCTCTGTCTTTTTCTCTGCCGTTAATAAGAATGGATAGAGTTCCTTTGCCTAGACCACAGAATGGTAAAGAAAGCTAAT